GTGGTTACCTCCTCAGCAGGACCCGGGGCCCTGAATGATGGGAAGAAACAGTTTAGTGGCAGAGAGGGAGAGCCTACCCTCTGCAACCCGGAAGCCACGAGTTCCTACCAGGGACTGGGGAGGATCCAACCAGCAGCCAGCAGAAGGGGCTGGACGCTAAGGAAGGCAGGACTTCCTATAGCTTTCCAGGACTGCCTCGGGCCTTCTCTGACATGCGGCTGAGCCTTGCACAGGCTGTTTTCTTTGCTAGAGGTTCTCCCACTTCTCTCCTTTCCCGCCTTGTCCAGCTCAAAGACCTGCTCCTCAGAGAAGCCTCCCTCTGGGTCCACGTCCACTCCTGCAGGTCAGGCTTGTTTTGGAAGCTGCTGTACAGGGGCCGGTGCTGCCCTTCTGTGACGCCTGCCTATATGGATGCAGCTGTCACCTGCAGGAGAGGGTCCGCCCCTGGGCTGGAGATGTAAGCCCGTCTGCTGCAGGGGCTTCACTTCTGCCTCACAATGGCCTCTGCAGGCTATGAGCTTGGCTGGGCCAGAGGTGGGAGGGACAGTGGCAGGGCTAAGGTGGGCGATGCTCAGGTTGGTCCCGCTCCTGACCTTTTCCTTCGGGCTCCAGGGCTGCATCGTCGTACCCAAGTGCTAGGGACCCTGTAAGGTTCACAACCTGCCACCTCAGTGTACTCAGCACTGTCCCACCAATAGCCCAGTCTGCAGTCCTGCCCTGGATGCTTTCGGGTCTGTATGCTCAGGACTGCCTGTCCCTCCTTCAGACAGTGCAGCAATACCTGTCATCCGCCATTTGTGGGAGGCGCAGGTGCAGGGTCTATCACGTGATGCTGTCTCACCACAGCCTGTGTACACGTGAGGAGCCGCAGCAGAGGGGAAGCCTCGTGCGCGGGCCTGAGGCAATTGTGTGATAAAGCTGGTGCAGATCCCATCCCAACTATTTTCCCCGCAGGGAGGGCTCCCAGCACCTCTGTGAGGCGTGTCCTCTTGGAGGAGAAGCAGCTGGTGATGGGGTGGGTGGCTGCCTCCAGTGAGGAGGGCTGGGGACCTACAGCCTCTCTGGCATTTGACCTGGACATGTGGGGATGGCCGGGACTATGTCAGGTCCCCTGTGTGGAAAAGGGTGCTGTGGCAAGCCCGATGGCCCTGGGGGCAATGCTGAGGCATCCCGAGGCTAGTCTGTGGCTGGTGGTGTGGAGGCTGCTTCAAGGCAGGCCCAGTGCCTCAGCCTTCAGCTGCAGGGAGTTGGTTCTCCGTTTCTGCCCACATCCTGTCCCCAGGAGCAGAAAACAGCAGCCACATACCCGAAGGCGGTGGAGGAGGGGCCCACAGGGCGCCTGCCCGGGTACCCGGGCCGCAGCCAGCACCAGGTATCAGAAGCGGGTCTATGTGCTCAGGTAGACAGGGAGGGCAGGGGGCTGAGACTTGGCGGTCGCTGAGTTCCAGGCAGCTGTATGCTTGGCGTTTGCAGGAGGGGCTCTGTAGGTGCGAGGGCCCCGGTGGTTCCGGGAGGCTGGCGCCCAGTCACTGCTTGTGGTTTGGGAGCAGGTGCCACCCTGCCCATCCAGATGTGATTCTTTGCTTGGTGCCCCTTCATGATTCTGCTGAGTTCCTGAGAGACATGTTGGTGCTTTTTAACCTCCCTTCCGTGTCTGTCTGCTTTGCCACAGTGACTGTCTCCGTGTGGTTTCTGAAGGAATTCTCGGTGCCCTCTTCCAATGCCCAGTTCTCCCTTCAGCTGCCTGCATGCCTGGAGCCCACCACATCTGCTAGGTTCTTTATTTCAGTCCTTGGGTTTTTCATATCCAGAAGTTTATTTCCTGTTCATCGTTACCTGTTTTTGTTCCTGCCAATAAGTTTCTAAATTCTCATGCCTGTTCGTATTTCTTCATTTCTGTGAGGGTCCAAGATGTCTTCAGAAGTTATTATTTCATTACTCCACTGCCCTTTTGTCTTCTTCAATGAACCGATCTCTGTGGTTTTGATACGGTTGTTTATCTTCCTTAGTCTTAATTTTCCTCCTGTATTCTGAAGTTGGGGTTTGCAGCTCATCTGAAATGGGAGCTGAGATCATGGGGTCAGGGAGTGGCCTGTAGATACCCAAATCACCATAGCAGCAGTCGCCACTCAGGAGTTTCCTGGGCTCTCTCTTCAGGGCTCGCTGCTGTAGGCTCAGGACACAAAGGGTTAGTAGCAGGTGGCACGGAGGGTCCCATGGTCCAGCAGTGGGGATGCTTCCTGGCAACCAGACGAGGGAACAGGTGGACATCGGACATGAGAAACTTGAGAGGACTCTAAGGCTGGGACTCTGGAGCCCAGGGTGGCTGCAGTAGGCAGAGTCTCTGTGCTGTGCTCCACTCCTTGCTCCTGGCCACATCCAGAAGCAGGCGTGTAGGGCACTGCCTAGAAGCCAGCAGGCTGGGCTGCTCTGGCCAGCAGGCTCTAGGGGGTACTGCCACCATCTGGACATGTGTACAGAGATCCTTGCTAGTCTGAGGTACAAAGAGCCGGAAGGGGTGGGGCGGATGTATAGGTTTTGATTAAAAGGAGTTTTAATTAAACTGGCCAGACCAGGTGAGGTGGGCGGGAAGGCAGGAAGAGTCCAAATGCTGGGAATCCTCTGGGGCTGCTCTTTCAAAGCTTAACGCGTGTGTCCCACAGCATGTGTCTGTATTTTACATGGGACAGTGTCTCCCCTCTGCCCCATCCCCAACAAGGGACAATCACTAGGAAATATGACATTATTAACATTTAATTTCCCCTCCCGGCTAGCAACAGATGACTCAAGGATTAATTAGATAGGCAGAGCCCAGCTAGAGGAATAGGAAATTGCCAGATCCTGGCCCTGAACCCCCACTCCTACTCCCAACCTTCCTGTGGCTCGTGGAGGCTTCCAAAGGGAGGGAAGCTTGGAGGAGGCCCCAGAAGTCCCCTGTGGCTGTGTACCACGGTGTTCTCCACCACCCTTCCATGTTCCTGGTAAGGATGAGAAGTCACTTCACCTTTTGGTGCCTTAACTTCCTCGTCTGTAAAATGGGGTTCCTGAGGCCAGCGTACACACAGATATCCATCATTTCCTGAGCTCCACAGCTGCGCAAGCTCTTTAAGAGGGACCAGTGTCATGTCCGGCATTCAGACAGGTGGCCTCCAAGGGAGCTTAGGATCTGGTAGCTCAGTGGTGGCTGCCACCTGCCAGCCAGCCTTATCATTCCCCATTTCTGGCCAGCGAGGCACCAATCTGAAATTGGACCTAGTGGGAGCATATATACCACAGGAAAGGGCTATAACTCAGGGCGCCCCCCAGCCAGCTTTCGGCTGATTTGCCACCTTAAACAGCTGGGCAGCCCTCAAAGATCTCCGGGAGCACACAGCTCCCCGACTCCTCGTCCCGACCTGCCTTGTCCTGCCTCTGGCTCCGGTGATCTGCTGGGCTCGTGGCTGGAGAAGGCATAGCTGACAGGGGATTTTGGTTTAGCAGATACCAGGGTAACCTGTGGGACCCGGGGAGCCTCACCCAGGATGTGCTGGCAGCAGCCAGGAGATCCTGCAGGAATGTCGACGGAAGGGGCAGAGGGGGAGCGGGCCATGCGGAAGGGCCGTGCAGGCTCTGCTGGCAGGAAACTGATGTGTGTTTTTAGCCCCATGCAAGGTTGGCCTAGACAGGAGGGTCAAGAGCGTTCCATGAGACTCTGGGAAAGGAGAAGGAGACTTTAATGTAGTTAAAGTAGCACCATATCCAGTGCTCTTCAACATGGGGATCTAACGCAGAAGGTGGTAGAGAAACCCTTAAGGGGTTCTCAGGCAGGTATCCAAATATCCAAGTACCCAAGACTGTCTGACCAAACAAAGGCTGGGTCATGCCCCTCAAAGGCCCCTTCTAGGGAGCCCTGTCTGGCCTCAGCAGAACACCTTGTCCACGCCTTGTCTGCCATGCCAGATTTCTAGCCTGGTGAGATGGGCTGTGGTGTCTTTCGATGGAGCTTCCCCTAGAGAGAGCCTGAAGGACATCAGATGGTTGTCTTTCCCCAGGAGGCAACAGTGGCAGGAGGCAGGATCCCTGGAGAGTAGAAATTCCCCAGGGGCTCACTGGGCCTAAATGGACAGTAGCCTGTTGCTCCTGCCGCCGGATGTGGGAAGCCGCACTCAGCCATGGGCCAGGATCTGGGTAGGAAAACCGGTCCAGGGCGAGCCCCTACTCCACCAGCACCTGCTGAGCCTAGGTCAGGTGGACCCCTGGTGAATGCTGCTCTGAACTGTGGGCCAGGAGGACAGAAGGACATGGTGCATGTCTGGGAATGGTGACTTAGCCTGGCCTGTCTGCCCGGCACACACTGTGAGCAGAGAGCCAGGGCTCAGTAAGACTCGGCTCTCTCCAACTGCTGCAGGTGGCTCCAGTTTCTGTTGAGGTTTTGGCCTCCCCTCTTTCCTTCTCCTTGGCCCTCCTGTGTCAGGTGATCCATTTCAAGCCTCCTAGCAGGGTGAAAGGGTCTGTTGGTTGCAGGAGCCCCCAAAGGTGGCTCCAGGCTATGGCAATGACAGGACTGCAGTTAGAGGGAAATTTGGGATTTAATTTAACCCTCTGTCAGCTCCTGGCCAACTTGGAGTGTGTGTATAGTGGGGGACCTTGGCCCTGCAAAGAGGCCAGCGACTGGGAGTGACCTTCTACCAGGGTCCGTAGTCCCACTCTATCCATGATATCCCGGAGAAGCCGGGGCAGACATGGCCACAAGAGACAGCCTGTAGCCTTTTGTCTCTGGGCAGGCAGTGCCTGCTGATAATGTGCTCCCTGAGAGTTTAGAATAGAAGAGGGTAGATTTGGGTGCCTCTTAGCTCTCAGAGAGAGGCACTTTAGAGGGGAGAGATGGTTTCACAAGCTGAGGGAGAAACAGCAAGAACTTGGGCTGAGCTCAGGCCTGCTGGGAAAACCAAGACTTTCCATGGTGTCAATTATTCCTCTTTTTATGACATTTGATTCTGGGAGATCCCTTCCAGATCTATTATTCTCACAGACACATGGGTGAGAGCTAAAATGGCCCCATACGCCAGCTGGGGTCCAAGTGCCTCGCTGTATAAACGGGGAAGCAGGGGCCCAGGAAGGAAAACCATTCTTGCCTTACAGTCCGCCAGCAGGTTCTGGCTGGGCACCTGCTCTTCTGACTTCAGTCAGTCATTCCCTGCGTCGTCAGGAGCAGCTGGGGAGAGGGCGTAGGAGGAGAGAGGGGTGGCAGCTCCCTCGAAGGAAAGCAGCCACAGCGCCTCCCCTTCCCAGATGTGCAGCTGGGGACATCAGGAGGCAGCAGGCTCGGGTTTGTGCCTGCTCTGCTGCCTGTGAGGGTGAGTGACTTACAAGACAGGGCCAGCTGGCTCCCCAGACCCCCCTGGACACCTGAGCTCCAGGTGTCTCTGGCCTGTCCCTAAAAGGGCAGCTGGTAGCTCCCCAGAGAGCTTGCTGGGGATAGAACAGGCTGAGGTGGGCTGAAAAACTGGCGTGGTGAGAGAAAACGGGTGGGATTGGAAGAGCTCCACAGGCAAGGCACTTTCAGCGGGGGAAGAAGGGTCGTGGAACTGGCGGTGAGGGCGGGAGACTGGCCAGGCTGCCACAGAAGGCTTGAGAAGCTGGCCATGGGGGGCCAACGTGAGGGGCTTAACATTGACAGATTCTTGGTCCCCTAGGGAAGGGAAAAAAAAAAAAGCACAAATGTGCTGGTCTCCGGCCCCATATCTAGGCCGGGAGGGCTGCGACCTCAGGGCTTGCTGTGGGTGAAATGCAGGAGCCTTGCGCAGCGCAGAAGAGTGAGCCGGATCTTAGTAGGGTTGTAGCCATGGCTCTGTCGACAGTCCCTCCTGCACATACCTGAATGAACCTGAGAGAAGGGGCTGCTTCCTGGGAGGGTCTGCATGAGGGTCTCCACAGGAACTGCGCGGGACCAGGAGGAAGCAGCTCTGCCCAGACCTCCCTGGGCCTAGGTCCTCCTCGGCAGTGGGGGCGAAATTCCAACTCTCCTGGCTTCTGACTGCGACTGCAGCAGACCAGGCAGGCAGCAGGGGAGAGGGGTTCATCCTCAGGGTGTCAGCTGGGCTAAAGGTGGGGTAGAATCCGAAGCAATAGGGTCTTTGGGACCGGGATAGCTCAGCCGCTCACCAGGGCTCTCCTTTTGCAGGTGCCCTGACAACCCCGAAGCTGAACCAAGCCATGATGCAGCCACCGGAAACCCTGGAGAGGGCCTGGCTTCAGGAGCTTCACCTGTGAGAAAGCCTTTGGAGAGCCCCCCACAGGGACGCCCCTGGCTCCTGTGAGGAAGGGGCTCCAGGCCTGGGCCCCTCTGCCCCGGGGCGGGGGAGGCTGGGCTGCAGCTATGGACCGTGAGCTGGCCCAGCCCTCGTCCCTGCTGAGCCCGCCTGTCTGCAGCCGCTCCCGCCATGGTCTCCTCGGCGTACATCACGGTGGAGCTGGTCATTGCCGTGCTGGCCATCCTGGGCAACGTGCTGGTGTGCTGGGCCGTGTGGATCAACAGCAACCTGCAGAACGTCACCAACTACTTTGTGGTGTCCCTGGCAGCGGCCGACATCGCAGTGGGTGTGCTCGCCATCCCCTTCGCCATCACCATCAGCACCGGGTTCTGTGCTGCCTGCCATGGCTGCCTGTTCTTCGCCTGCTTTGTCCTGGTCCTCACGCAGAGCTCCATCTTCAGCCTCCTGGCCATCGCCATTGACCGCTACATCGCCATCCGGATCCCTCTGCGGTGAGCCAGGGGCTGGGGTTTACGCCTGTGCAAGGGTCTGCTGTGGCCACGGTCTGGTCTGTGGTGTCAGCGTAGGGGGCTGAGGACAGGGCCCTGGGGCTCCCAGGGTCTTCCCGGGGCTGGCAGGTGGGCAGCCATCACACCCATCGGGCTGATCCCTACGGGCACTGAGTGCCCGGCCTCCTTGGCTTCCCCCGGGTCACATGGGAAGGTTACACCTGGGCTGTTCTTTGGACATCAGAGCAAAACTCCCTGTGAGATGCTGGGGGGCAGGCACAGGAAACCGTAGGACCTCAGCTAGGAGCCATCTGCTGCCTGCCTGCCTTACCCCTGCTCCTCTGGGCTGGCCTCAGCATAAACATCAGGAGAATGACCCAAAGAGGGGAAGTGACTTGGCCAGATGCCACAGTGAGTCATTTGGACTTACATGCAAATTATGTTGCTTCTCAGGTCACCAAGGACTCAGCCTGCACGGGGCTGGTTGTGGGAGGGGGGTTTTACAGGGTATCTTTTGTGAAGTGACTTCAGCCAAGTATTGTGTAAGTGAAGACATTCCGGGAGGCTGAGTTTCCTTGGTGTGGCCTCCACCTACCCAGGCTACAGATGAGCTAGAAAGTGTATCCCTCCCCTCAGGGGCCCTGGGGCCGCCTGTTCCTCCTCCTCGCTCCTCCACCACAAAGCTGGGTCCACAGCCACAGTGGCTACAGGCCCTGAGGGAGGTCTCCCTGACTGGGGAGCGAAGTGTTCAGTCCCCGTGGTCAGTTCTCCCAAATAGATGGGGTACCCACCTCAGGAGGGAGCCCCCACACCCTCACTCTGGGCTGAGAGTGCCCCAGGAAGGAGGAGGACAAAGTTCAATGAGAAAATGGAAATTCAGAATGTCAAACCCAAAGAGGCCTCCGAGGTCACTTCTTTCCTCTCATCTTCTTGATGGAAAAACGAGGCTCTGAGAAGGGAGGCGGCTCTCTCAGGGCCACACAAGTTGATGGCAGAGCTGGGACTAGACTTGAGATAAAACGTAGCCTGCCACCACTGAGACAGCACCCCTCAGGGAGAGCACGGGCTGCCCAGACCCTCAGAGGCTGCGGTTGGTAGGCTCGGCCATCGCCTGAGCCCTAAGGGGGAAGCAGGCACCCACCTCAGGCTGCTCAAAAGAGGTGGAACCTGGACCTCATGTGGCCCTGAATCCTCATCAAAGGAGAAAAGGCTGGTCCTGAAAGGGGGCTGAATTGGAGGTGGTCTGACTCAGGGCACAGTGTGTGGACTTAGCCTGGGACCTCACCGCCCTCGTCTCTTGTGCGCGGAATCCCTGTTCATCAGTGACAGCTGAGAGCAAGGAAGCCGGGTTGTGTGTAGGTGCCAGGGGGGCCTGCGTTCACGCAGGGGCGGGCACTCAGGGGAATCAGTAGCCTAGCTTTCACTTTCTTCTCTGATTCCAAGGGCAACAACATTCTGGGGCGAGGTCAGGGCAGCTGTTCTCAGTTTAAAGACCTCAGCGTTGTTTTCCCCATGGGTGCCTCTCTCTTCTTCCTCATCGCTAAAATTTTCTGAGATTCAACAGAATGGATTCCTGAAGTAGTGGGATGGGACATGCCGTGTGGCTGTGGAAAGTCAGCCGCCATTCTCTGGGCCCATTTCCCCATCCAGAGCAGGGGGATAGGTCCTTCTGTCTCTGAGCTTACAGAAGCTTTGAGGGTCCATTGGGTGGATGGGAGTGATGAGACTAGGCAGGTGGGGGTCAGCTTTTTTTTTTTTCAGTACTGGGGGTTAAACCCAGGGGCTCCACGCTGAGCTACTTTTCCTGAGCACACTTCCCCTTTTGAGATGGCCTCACTAAGTCCCTAAGTTGCCAAAGGTGTGCTGGAACTCAGAATGATCCTCCTGCCTTGGCCGCCCAAGGTGCTAAGGTTACAGGTGTGCACCACCGCGCCTGATCTGCTGCTCTTTCTTTAGCTGCTGAAGGTTTGGAGCCATGTCTCTGCCCTAACTCTGGTCTGCATTCCAGACTATCAGGATCTCTCAAAGCTGACCCTCTGTTCTCCCTGGACCTTGGGCCATTTGAGCTCCGCTGGGTCAAGCTTTAGAAGGTTTAGGCTGGTCTCCTCGGCAGAGATGCCTTTGATGCTCCTCCGGCCCCCCAGGCAGAAGGTGTAACAGTTGTCAAAGGATGTTAACGCTGCATCTCTTGTGATCCTTTTGGCCCAGCATTGAGGCTAGCATGGATGTTACGATCCTCGTGTTACGGGGAGGCCAGAGCCAGGGAAGGGCATGTATCTGTCTTCTGACGTGGGTGGACTCTGGAGCCCTTTGCACTGTTCCGGTCCCCTGGGTCCCTTCATTTTCCTATTCTTAGAAGCCCCTGGCCACTGAGCATGAGGAAGGGTCTGTATGGAGGCTCCTGAGCGCAAGCTGGGCCTACAGAGAACTGGATGGAAGCCAATGAGAACCAGGCGTTCATGGCTCACCCCACCAGAGGTGCTGCCTAGCTCGGAGTCCCCCTTCCTCCTTTGTGCCCCTTAAGAATGGGAATCCAGCCTCTCCCCCACCATCTGCTGTTCCACTGAGGAAGGTCCACAGGGTTACTCTGAGGTCTAGTCTTGGAAGGCCTGGCCGCAGGCCTGCACCACACGTCTGTAACTTTTTTTTTTCCTTTAGAATTCAGCTTCAGAGCTGGTTGGGGTAGTGTAGGCCTGTAATCCCCGCATTCAAGAGGCCGAGGCTGAGGATTGCTGTGAATCTGAGGCCAGCCTGGGCTGCACAGTGAGTTCAAGACCAGTCCGCACAACATAGTGAGACCCTGTCTCAAAAAAGAAAGAAAAAGATCAGCTTCAGAACAAGCTGTTTCCTCTCTCCCAAATAGAGGGACCCTGTTGGGATAGGGCAGGGCCTGGTGAGTGAGGAAGAAGCCAGGCCAGAGAAAGAGGTGCAGCTGTCAATGTCTTTGGAGGATAGAAGCCCTGGGTGAGAGATGTGGCCTTCCTTCCGCAGGAAACCTTTGCACCACTCTCTCCTGTCTCCCACACCAGCCCCTGGTGGGTTCTGTGAGTCCTGAGGAACAAGCCCAAGGACAAGGCGGTGTTATGCCAAGGAGGTCCTATCGTAGTGACTCGCCCTGACTTCTTACAGAGAAGGATCAGGGAGGCAGCTCGGTGAAAAAGCATGTTCTTGGCAGGGGCAAAGCCATGGGTTCAAACCTCAGCACTGTAAAAACAGAGAAAAATGTTTCTTCTTTGGCAAGACTTTCCAAGTGGACAGGAGGAGGGGGCGGTACATAGCTTAGTACTTGCCTTGAGTTGCAAGGCTGTGGGTTCCATCCCCAGTACGTAGAAATGACTAAATAAATAAAATAAAGAGGCAGGATTGGGAGGATGAGCCCCATGGGGGGGAGCATTACAGCATGCGTGAGGTCTCAATGCCATGCATGTGGGGGCAGGTGTGTCAGAAGGAGGGTGAAAGCTTGGGCAGAGGCCCTGAAGGGGAATGACCGTGACCGTGTGTGCTGTGGGCCGGGGTGGGGGTGGGGGCGCCCTGGCTGTTGAGAGACGGAGGACAGGAGCTGAGTGGGCAGGGAGGGCGTGAGGCTGACTCAGGCCTGTCCCCGTCCGGGGAAGGAGTCCAGGGTTCCCCGTCATCAGAGGCTCTTCAGTTCCGGGATCACTGACCCCTGGGGATAACTGAGGAAAGCTCCATGCTGTCCTCGGGGGTGCAAATGCTCATACCCCTGTGTGGAATCGGGCAGAACATTTTTGGACCATAGTCTGAGGCCCCCCTGTGGGTGATTGGGGTCCTCAGGGAAGGCCAGCTGCAGCCTAGAGGACGGGAACGCAGACGGCACCCTGTCTTGGTTACTTTTCTCTCGTTGCTGGGACAAAATACCTGGTGCCCAAAATTAAGGAAGGAAAAGTTTATTTCGCTTACAGTTTGTGGAGGTTTCAGTCCATACTTGGCAGATCACAAGGCAGAGTGGCGCACGGCAGAGGGCTACGGCTCATGGCGGCAGAACACAGCCAAAGCAACAAGCACACACCAGGTGGAATGGCAAGAAGCGCCCTCTTCCTCTCCTTTACATATGCAAACTGTCCACCCCGGGGAGGGTGTAGCGCTCACACCCATAGTCAGTCAAACCCTAAAAGCCTGCCCCGTGACCACATGAGGCTTTGGGGGGACACCCAAACACAAACCATAACACACCCTAAAAGGGGCTGGCAGCTGCCCTGGCTGTCACATCCTCTGGCACCCCCCGGCTCCCTGGAGTGGCCCGGTGATGTGCTGGATGGCCTCGGCAGCCCTCGCAGCAGGACTGTCTATATCTGCAGGTGAGAGGGCTGAGCGTAACCTTGTTATTCACAGACATCGCCCAGGGGACACGGCTGGGCCGTGCCATGGTCTGGCTGTGGTTCGCTTTGGGTCTTGATGCTCCCTCAGGCCCCTGAATGCCTGGATTGGAGACTCCCAGCTTCAAGGGCTTTGTTTTGAATAACAGAATTAATCTATTTCAGTGTCGTGGAGTTTGTTTGCTCGTGGTCCTTGCACATGTCAGGCAAGTGCTTGAATTCAGTCCCAGCCCTTTCTGATAGATATTAATTGCACGTGCTCAAACATTAGAAAACAACAAGAGATATATAGTGAGAAGTTGCCCCATGCTCCCTCCTCCCCGCAGCACCCTTCCCAGAGGCAGTGGTGGGAATCCTTTGCCTATGCCCAAGCGCTACTCATGTTTGTTTTGTTTCTGTCTCCAAAAGGGGCTTTCTTTTGAGACTTCCCCTCACGGATTCCCTCATCTTTAAAAGTAGACAACTGGATGGACCAGGCATTTCCATGCTATGTTCTCAGAACTTTCCAGGCCCAGTTCTGGTCACGCCCCCAGCTCATGAGTTCATTAAGTATCAATTAAGCACCGCCCCTCTTGTCTGGCGGCTCCCCCTGCATAGCTGCTTGGACATGCAGGCAGAAGAGCTGTGTTGCTGGAGCACAGTATGTTCTCCCCTGGGTGCAGGGGCCCCGCTGGGTGACCAGTTGCTCCTGCTGGATCACCTCAGACAAGAAGCTCATCACTGCCTCAGCAGCCCATTTCTCCTATGAAAAGTCCTCACTTACCCCAGGTCAGAGCCCGTGTCCCTGGAATTTCCACGCAGTGATTCAGCATCCCGTCTTATGAAGCAGAGCTCACAGATCCAGGGTGCTTAGTTCCATTTTACAAATGAGGAAACTGAGGGTCAGCAAGATGAAGGGACACACATTCTGTATTCACAGGGACGTGCCAGGGCTGGCAGCCAGGCAGAGATACGCTTTTCTCAGGAAAGATGCCAACAGTAATGGAGCCTCCTGTTCAATGGGGCTTATACAAAGTACACAGTAGAGTACTAAGAACGGCGTTGGGTACAGAGTGAGTGCTACCTTAGTATTAGACGGAGGGTGGGGAAGCCTGTGCTTTAAGTCTCTACAACAGGAGACAGGGCAGTGCCGGGTCTCTTGCTTGGCAGAAATGGGCAGGTCCATGGCGCTTCTCCTGCAGAGGCCCTGTGGAGGTGACCAAGCCCTGCAGAGTGGATGTGTGGAACTCCTGAAGACTGGCCTGCCCAGATTCCGAACTGACAGGATTGAGGATGTAGCTTGGTGGTGTAGTGCTTGCCTGGCACACGCAAGGCTTTGGGTTTGATTCTCCAGCACTGAAAAAAAAAAAAAAAAAAAATTGAAAGAAAGAAAGAAAAGCATGAGAGAATCAGAACTGACAGACTTACCTTGGCCTGAGTTGTGTCTGGGCCCCTAAATGTTCCCCATTTCTCAACTTGGGCTTTAGTTCACCCACCTATAAGATAAGGAGGGTGGAATAGATAAGCCATCAGAAGACACTAGCTCATTTGTTCATTTGAATACACTGACAAAATAAACCTTTGGAAAGTTAGCCCAGAAAATCAGCTTTCTAGCCCGCCTTGATATCTGGTAATGCAGGGAGCTGTGTGTGTGTGTGTGTGTGCGTGTGTGTGTGTGTGTGTGTGTGTGTGTGTGTGTGTGTAGTGTTGGGGATGGAACCCAGGACTTTGTGCATGCTCTCTTTGTGCAGGTAAATGCTCTAACTCTAGGCTCGTATTTTGAATGGCAGCAAAGACAAGATAAACACCCAGCAGTCTACCTAAAACACACATGTGTTTGCCACCCATGGTCTGTACCTTCCTGTGGATGTTTCCAATGCTGAAATTAAGTAGATTGCACTTTTCTTAATACCTAGTGCACATCCCTGTCCCAAGCGGGCAATGCAGCGATCGATGCCCTTCCCCTAGGGGCTCTCAGCAAGAGGGAGGAAACTTTTCTGAGAAGGTATCTACCCTGAACTTGATGGATGAGTAGCTCCTGCCAGGTACAGGGGAGAATCAAAATGTAAACAGAAGATCATCCTTCAGAAGTTACCTTTCTTGGAGAGACTTCACTTTTTTTTTGAGACAAGGTCTCAATATGTAGTTCAGACTGGCCTTGAACTCACTGTGTAACCCAGGCTGGATCCAGAACTTGCAGCACAGTGATCTTCCTGCCTCAGCCTCCTAAGTGCTGGAGTTACAAGTATGCACCACCATGCCTGGCAAGACTTCATTTTTTGAGAGCCCATTCTTTCACAAAAGCAATGCCACCTTTTCTACAGGACATCGCTATGCTTTCAGGCCGGTTATCAAGCCATTCCCCCGTGTGTGGGACTTGGAATCAGTAGGCTTGGGTTTTCAGACACTTCAGGAATACTGAGTGTCTTTGGACAGACTGGTGTTCTTTGGACCCCAGCGTCTCATCCAAGTGTTTCCTCTTGAATATTAAGGTTAGCGTATAAATGTCAAGACATAATTATCTTATTTATTTCCAGAAAGTGGTGGGTGGGTTTGGAAGGGAGATGGCATCTCATTTGACCTCCCTTGGGACCTCTACTCCTTCTTTATCCTTGGGCAGCCTCTACTTGGGGGTCTGTGGGCACCCAAGTCAAATGGGGAGGAAAAGGCAAGAAGTATACAAGGCTCAGACCGTCACAGGTCTGATCCAGCTGGTTCTGCCCCCAGCTAAGGTGCCCCTGCTCTGGACCTGTTCCTGCTCTCAGGGAAGCATGTTGTCGCCTCAACTAAGGTCAACCAGTGTGACGTGGTACTTTTCCTCCCTCCTCCAACTCACTTATTGTTTCTCTTGAACCAAATGCAGATTAAGTCTCAGGACTACATCTAAGACGAATAGTCACCTGAACGTGTGTACAGTGGTTTCCTTTTTTTTTTTTTTTTTTCCTGGAGATAGGGTCTCCCTATGTAGTGCGGGCTGGCCTCGAACTTGCAGTGACCCTCCTGCCTTGGCCTCCCAAGTTCTGGGGTTCCAGGCGTGCGCCACTGTGCCCGGTACTGGTTTCCGTTTCAAGGGTGCCTGTTTTCCTGCTTCCTCCCAGCAGCCTGTGGGAAAAGCAAGGTCCACAGCCTCACTTAACAGAAGAAGGTGCCAGGGCTGGGAGACAGGAAGTGACTGTCCCAAGACCCTATAGCCAACGAATGGGGGAGCAGATGGGCTGCAGCTCTGTCTGGCTGGCTGGCTTGCTTGCTTTCTCTTTCTTCCTTCTTTTCCTCCCTCCTTCCTTCCTTCTCTTTCCTTCTTTCCATCCCTTTCCTTTCCCTTCCCTCTTTCTCTTTTTTTCCCCTTTGTATTCTTTTTTCTTTCTGTCTTTCTTTCCAGTACTGGGAATTGAATCCAGGACCTTCACACTGAGGTATATCTCGAGCCCCTTAAACATTTTTTTTTATGAAAAATTTTGAAACAGGGTCTTGCTAAGTTGCCCAGGCTGGGCTTGATCTTGTGATCCTCCTGCCTCAGCCTTCACCACACCCAGAAGTCCTGGGTTTCTTTACTCCTGGCCCTGACTAGCCCTGCTTTCTCAGCCTCTGATGCTGGTCTCCTGTCCCCAGGTACAATGGCTTGGTCACCTGCACGAGGGCCAAGGGCATCATTGCGATCTGCTGGGTGCTGTCATTTGCCATCGGCCTGACACCCATGCTGGGCTGGAACAACTGCAGCCAGCCGAAGAGGAAGGAGAACGAGTCACAGGTCTGTGACGAGGGCCAGGTGACCTGTCTCTTTGAGGACGTGGTGCCCATGAACTACATGGTGTACTACAACTTCTTCGCTTTTGTGTTTGTGCCCCTGCTGCTCATGCTGGGCATCTACTTGCGGATCTTTCTGGCAGCCCGGCGACAGCTGAAACAGATGGAGAACCAGCCTCTGCCGGGGGAACGGACTCGGTCTACACTGCAGAAGGAGGTCCACGCCGCCAAGTCACTGGCCATCATTGTAGGGCTCTTCGCGCTCTGCTGGCTGCCCTTGCATATCATCAACTGCTTCACCTTCTTCTGCCCCCAGTGCAGTCATGCCCCGCCCTGGCTCATGTACCTGGCCATCATCCTCTCCCACAGCAACTCCGTTGTCAACCCCTTCATCTATGCCTACCGCATCCGTGAGTTCCGCCAGACCTTTCGCAAGATCATTCGCAGCCACATCCTGAGGCGGAGGGAACTCTTCAAGGCAGGGGGCACCAGTGCCCGGGCCTTGGCAGCGCACAGCTCTGAGGGAGAGCAGGTCAGCCTCCGGCTCAATGGCCAACCCCCGGGGGTGTGGGCCAACGGCAGTGCCCCTCATCCCAAGCAGCGGCCCAACGGCTATGTCCTGGGGCTGGTGAGTGGAGGGAGTGCCCAAGGGTCCCGCGGGGATGCCAGCCTCTCAGACGTGGAGCTGCTCAGCCATGAGCATAAAGGAACGTGTCCAGAGTCCCCCAGCCTGGAGGACTCCCTGGCCCAAGGCGGAGCAGGAGTGTCCTGATGGCCCATAGAGTCTGCTCCTTCCGGCAGGAAGGAAATTCTGTCTTCTGTCACGCTGGGAGAAGAGACTAACTGTGCCCAGAGGCCTACGGGCATCTGGTTCCCACTCTGGACGGAGATGAGGGAGCCCCAAGCTGGAGCAGCATGAGGCCCAGCAAAAATAGTGGGGTCTGAGGAAGCAGATGTTTTGTGCTCTGAGGCCCTGCGACTAGGCCAGGGCTGCAGCCCCAGCAGCATGTTGGCTGAGCAGGGTCCGGCCCCCGTTCCAGAAGCATCTAGTGGTCCCACCTTGTCTGCAGAGCAGCTGTGGCTTAGCAGACTGGGTTGACCTCCGGCCAGGCAGCAGCTGCAACAGACCTCCTGCCACGCACACCACCCTCCCAAGACTCTCTAGGGCTCAGGGAACTGCTGGCCAGGGATGACGTTTGAATATGTTTTCCAGGAGAAGATATGTGCAAGGAAATCCTTTTTATTTTATTATCCTCCCTGCCTGTCTGCTGCTAACCTGGCACCAGGAGTCCGCCCAGGAAATCTCAGGCAGCCCTTTCCACCTGCTGGGAGCTACCATGCACTTAGTCCCAGGGCCATCTCTTGGGGCAACAAACCTGGGCTGGACGATGGGGAGTTGTGACGGGAACAGGGCCAGGATGTGGCTAGGCCTCTCCTGTGGCTGGCAGGCCATGGGCCTGTGCCTGGATAGCTCAGAGCTGCCCAATTAGAGCCCCTGTCTAATTGCCTGTTCTACTAAAGGGGATGTTTCGTTTGTTTGTTTATTTTTTTTCTGAGATAAAATAAAAATGAGCCACATGGTGTTTTAAGTTTTTCCAATGAGAATGGTGTCTGAGTTCCTTTCCCTTCTCCATAGCTAGGCCTGGGAGTGTGTTGATTATGTGTGAGCGAGTGTGTGTGTGTGTGTGTGTGTGTGTGTGTGCGCGTGCGCAGATGGACAGACAGACAGGAGATACCCTCCCTGTCCTAGGGCCTCCTGACCTCCAGGGACAACCACATACCCATGCCGATGCCTCCTGCAGTCCTGTAGTCTCCGCTCCGTGAGCAGTGCAGGAAAACAGGGTCTTTGCCCAGCTGCCTCCCCCAGGGTCCCAGCCTCTCGGGCCCCAGCTGCTCATGGTGAGAAGACCGGCTCATCCCTCCCGTGCTTGCTTCCTGGCATCCTGAGAGGAAGAGCCCCCTGTGGATCAGCTTCTCAGAACTGTGTCCCCCACTCCCCACCCCACCCGTCAGTGGAGAGGTCACCGAGGTATCCGGAAACAGATCTGGACTGGGGCTGAACTGCCTTCACCTTCCTCCACTTGCAGAAACCTGTGCGGAATATGGCGTTGTCTTGCCCTGACACCGGCCTCTGGGGCCCCCTGCCTGAGGACGCGGTGCCTGCTCCTGTGAGGGTGAAGTCTGCCTGGGGTTGGCAGGCATCTGTGATTGTTCCCAGTCTGGTTCTGAGGGCCAGTTTGGTCTCAGTCAGGTTGGGATTTGGGAAAGGAGTATTAGAACTTCACAGGTAATGCTCACACAGCCCTGGGAACTCCATTTCACAGGTGATTAATAAACTCAGAGAGCTAAAGTCCTTGCCCCAGGTCACAGTGGCAGAGTGAATTTAAAACCCAGGTCTGTCTGATGGTAAAATCCATGCTTTTTTTTGCTTCTTCTTTTCATTAACAGAGAATGAACTATTTCAAACAAACTGAAAAGCATGAAATAATCCCATATCCCCCACCACTCTGCTTAAGAAATGAAACAACTGCAGTTGACACATAACCCCTCCTGACACTACCCTGTAGCCTGAGCTTAGAGACAACTGCTTTCCTGAATGCGCTTTTGTCCCGTGGCGCGTCTGTACATTTGCACTGTGTGGCGGTGTGTGTGCATGGTAGTTATCTCTAACTGCCCGTCAACCAGAGGTCCTCGCAACTCCCTGCAGCACACCTGAGAGCCACATAGGAGTCTGTGAGTCCCAAAGTCTGAGCCCTTTTCCAGAGACTGGATTAACCGGCCAGTGCCTGCCCCCGCCCCAGGCTCTCACAGACAGCCAAAGCTGCAAAGCACTTGTATAAATAGAGTCCTCGCCCATCCACACCACTTCTCTTCCCCTACGCACGTGGATCTGTGCTGACTACTGGCAGAGAGCAAGGCGGTGGCCTGGGCTGTGCCGAGGAGGCCAACGGGAAGGGTACCGTGAGTCCTCATGACCAGTGAGTGGAGGACAGACTTGAAAGAGCCACAAAGGCAGGGAAGAAAGAAGCATCCTCACTCCAGCCTTTTCCAACACCTTGGGAATTGAGCTTTGGGTACTGGGCTGCAGAGGTGCAGGCTTTGGGGTTGGTGAGGGGAGGGTCTGGGCATTGGAAAGGCTTCCGGGTACAAGCGCACCCCAAGTCCTTTCAAGACCACCCCAGCCCAGCTCTGGAGCCCAGGCCTCCTTGGGTCCGCAGCGGCCCAGTGTCCCATCCGCCCCCACCATGGGCGCCCACTCTAGCTGGCCGAGGGTGAGCACTCAGGCACAGATGCACACATGCATGTCACTCCTCTGACCCCCAACACCACACGGGGTGCACACATGGACTTACTTGCTTCTAGCGCCCCCCTCAGCGGAGTGAGTGCCCGAGAGGAGGTGTGAAGACGGGAAGAGCAGGAGCAGCTCCTGCGGCCTTGTCCAAGGGCCCCTCTGCGCTCTCTCTGTCGTCTCACAGGGCTGAGAGCGGACAAAATGCTTCATTTGGGTCTTTCCTGAACACACAGAACCCATCACAGATGCGTGTCTTTTGCAGCCCTGGCCCCCTTTAGGGCAGGTGTGGCCAGGCCACAGGGACGCCTGAGAGCAAGCTCAGGGTGGCTCAGGCTGGGTTTTGGCTCTTCCCTGCCCTCGTCCCCCAGAGACAGGCCCTCTGGAGCCCTCCCCGCCTCCCACTCTACTAACTGCGCTCCTGAAGCCCTCCGCTTCATAGCTGTCCCGGGTACAGAGGCCCTTCCTTTGCCCTATCACAGTGCAGGGGCTCGGGAGCCGGACTGAGCCTCAGTTCTGTGTGCTGACCGGAGGTGGCAAACCATAGCCGGGCGGGGGTGAGGGACACCGAGGGAGCAGGAGGGAATGAGCTGTGGTTGCCCGCTGGATGGTGCCCCAGAAAGGGAAAGCTGGCTGTCTTTTCCACTGCAGCGGGGACACAGGAACGAGGGGCCTCTTGGAAGCCAGCTGCCCAGGAGTGGGCTGGTTCTGGGCAGGCTGCCCCGTTTCTGTGACCATGGGAAAGGGGGTCAGCCTGGAGCCCTGTGGATGCTGCTCCAGTCCTGCCATGAGTACTGGCTCCCGGCTGCTGCTAAGGCTCTTAGCTCGGCTCCCCTGCCAGGGCGCACCTGCACGCTCAGCTGGACAAGCAGTGCCCCCCTCCGCTGATGGGAAGTTTCCTTAGTGGGGACAGAACTTGGGGAGATCCAGGGGCGCTGTAAGGCACGTGGCTCCCTCCTCGGATCAGTGGCTCCCTGATCCGCTCTGGAAGGCTGTAAGGTCACCACCTCTTCCTCCTCCCTACCCCAATCCCTTCTGTGCCCCAGACACCCCTCCCTGTGGCTGTCACTCATCATTAGCAGTAGCGGTCACTGTGAGGACAGCCCCTGTTAGGCTACAGAGCCAGAGGAGGAGGCGGGAGGCTGTCAGATGACTCACGCAGCCTCAAAGGCAGGGACGGACAAAGGGAGCACAGGGCCTCGGTGTGGGAAGCACCTCTGTAGACCCTCTTGCTCTGCCCTTCTTTCCCCAGAGAACCCAAGTGCGACTCCACCTGCTCTGCCTCCACCGTCGGGGAGTAGATGTGGGGAGAAGCCAGCCTGAGGCTGGGCAGGGGACAGAGGCAACCAAACCAAGGTCCTGCCCACGGAAAAGGCTTTGCATGGAGCCACGTGCATTTCTTTGCCTCGTTCAAGAAAGTGTCCTTGGGGTTTTTTTTAGGGGGTGAAGGTGTACAGGATCAGCCATTTAAACTGGCATCTAGTGACGCCCCAGAGAGGGATGGTCGGGCCCTGATTGCTACCCTTTCTGCCCGCTCCCAATCTCTCAGTGACTGCCTTCTGGTGCCCGCTGAGCAGGAGTGTGGTATGGGATGCAGAGGGCGTCAACAACTGACTCGGGAAGATAAGCCAGATGAGGGTGCAAGGTGCGGGGACACAGCCTGGGGAGGTTCAGAAAAGGAAAAGACCGCATCCACTGAGCAGTCAGGAGAGGCCTTCCAGAGGAGCCAGGTCAAGCTGGCTTTTGCAAAGCTGGTGTTGGTCAGCTCCACGGCCCCTTCCCTGCAAGGTGTTGCTGTGGAAATAAGAACGAGGAGGATTGCAGTAAATCTGCGCCTGACTTACATCTGCCTACACAGAATTATACCATCCACTCGGAGGCAATTTTCAAGTTAAAATGTTGTCAGAGGGTTGTCACAGTTTTGATCTTTCTTTTCTGTTCTTTCTCAATCCACCCACATCTGCTAGTTGGGTTGGAAAGGGGAGTGAGGGGGATAGAGCCTGGTTTAGATTCAGAGATTTTGGGAATTATTAAAAGTAGGTAAGACTTTGAGAAATTACTGAGTTTTTTCTTAGGAAATTTCAGTCCCGAACCCGAGGTCACAACTGTTCCGTCACCTTCAGAACTTTCAGGGACTACAAAGACAAGGCCAAGCATTCTGCAGTTATCCCCCAGGCCATCTCTTGGGGTTTCAGCTTGCTTTTCCTTCTCCCTAGTTCAGCAATGTCAAATAAGCCCACTCCCCGCTCCTTCCAGCCACCACCCCGCTTTGCGGAGATTTGGAAGGAGAGTGAAAGAACCAGGTACAAATGCTGGCCTCGCCATTGACTTCTTGACTGTGGGGAAGTCATTTTCTGGGCCAGTGGTTTTTTTGGTTTTTTTTTGTTTTTTTTAGATAAAACAGGATAATAAATGTAAAAGTGCTTTGAAAGGGATATGTAACACAAATGCCCAAGATTATTATTATTGCTGCAATAACTAATTGGTTCTTAGTTCAGAAAACACAAGAGGGCAACTAGTCAATAGCTTCAGTGCGCTCAGTGTAAGAACAGAAAGGAGGCTGGAAGGGTAGGCAGTGGGAGAGAGGGCCGCCGACCTGGTTTCTATATTCTGCACACCACCAGGTGGAGAAACACAACAGGTGTGAGTTTAAGCTGGTACCCGGAGACTTCTGGTCTCTGGAGGCTGAGGGGTGGCTGTAGAACTGGCAGATGACTTAGGCAAGGAATGTTGGTTACGGATCCTTTCCTGTGTTCAAACCCATACCTTCCCGTCTATTAGTGAAAGTCTGGGCCAGAAATATAGCTCAGTGGCACAAGCGCCTGCCTGGCAAGTGCAAGGTCCTGAGTTTGATTCCCGGTACCAAAAAAAAAAGAATCTATTAGTGAAAGTCTACCAAAATAAATAAATAAATATATATATATATATATATATATATATATATATATATATATATAGGGAAATGTGGGCTATGGAAAAGGTGAACAGAAATGGAATGTAATAAATGCTCAGACTAACAAATAGGACTCAAAATGACCTTGGTAGGCTCCACAGATAAAAGTGAGCCTTGCTCGAGTGCAGCACAAATGCAGCACAAGTCTGAAAAGGCAAACATGCAGTGAGAAGTAGGAGGAGAGAGACCCAGCCTACCACCAGTTATCATCAAAAGAACACGGCACCCAGCACTTGGGAGGCTGAGGCAGGAGAATCACTTAGAGTTCAGGTCAGCCTGAAGACCCGGTCACAAAAAGACGAAACAAAAACAAAAAAAAACATGGCAGATATTTCAGTGCCCAAGTTCTCCACTGGCTTA